GGTATATTTTCAGATTGTTGGGGGCACCCCACTTCTTTTTATCAACCCACCCAGTCCTCTGCCCTGGTTTTCTAAATTCCTGGCAGTTATTTTTCTTTAAAAACTAAGAAAGGAAGTCTAGAGGGACAGCTCAGCAGAGCACTTGCGGTTCTTGCAGAGGACCAGAGTTTGAATCCCAGCACCCACATATTGAGACAGGTAGGTATCCCCCAAAACGCCTCTCACTCCAGCTTGGAGGAATCTAAAGCCTTCTTCTGGGCTCCCACCCATGGTCACACACACACACCCCTCACACACAAATAAATACAATAAATCTTTTAAAAACTAATAAAAATGCACATGCAGGGGGCAGCGATTATTGTGAGGTGCTATGTTCTGTCTTTTCTCATCATGAGACTAGAAGAAGCAGATTAAGGTATAGGTTAGGGTTTGGAGAAAACGGCTATGTAACTCCCTAATTTCCTAAGCCATTAAAGCAAACAAGCGTTCAAAAACTTTTTTATTTAAATTCTCCTAAACCCTAGGAGCTCTGGTCTTTTTTAAACCCGGCCCCCAAATGAAACTGAAAGCATCTCTCACACCATAGAAAACCCCACGCCTAGGTGAAATTCTCCGATGCTTGGAAACCTTCGATGGGGGGGGGGGGACCCCGGAGAACTGAGAGCAGTGCATCACTGTCTTCTGAGCATGACAGAGCTGTGGCACTCATGAAGTCACAGCAGCTGCACTGCCAGCACCCGGCCTGCCCACGACCAAGTCTGTCAACATTGTCCTAGATGGGGGAGAGGCTGGTGCAGGCCAGGCCCACCCACGTCGGGCAGTCAGCTGAAACCCAGTGGGTCACCAAACCAAACCGAAAAGACATGAATGTAGGGGTGGGAACGTGGGGACAGTGAGAAGGGATGGATGAGGGTGACCAGGCCGGGTTATATACGCGTACGCAACTATCAAAGAATAAATTAAGTAAACATTTTCTAATTTAAAAAAAAAAGGGGTGGGGTCCAGCATTCCCGAAGGCACGGTCCTCACCCCTCCCCTCTATGAGAGCGAAAAGGGGGTGCAGCTCTGCTGAAAGAGGGGTAAGAAGCAAGAAGACGAGGCCTGGTGCCTGCGGGAGAGCAACTAGAGGGTCCGAAACACTGGCCAGTGTTTCAAGAGACTAAGTTTCCCAGATTCTTCTCGCAGCCTCCCTGGTGCGCGTAAGAGTAATACGTGGTGAGTGTAAGAACAGGCTTCATTCAGTGCACCGTGCCTCTAGCCAATCTTGTTAAGGAAGTCACAGAAAGGGCTGGTAATAAAGATAATACAATTGCTCGGGCCATTAAACTCTCATTTCCTCATTTTCTACATTCTTCTTTTTAACATTTCTGGAAAAACTGTTGTTAAACAAAGGGGGGTCGGGGGTTGGTGGTGAGGGAGTTCTGCTGCGTTCTCTAGGCACACGCCCAAGAAAGCACAGCGTGAGTATAAAACCCTCCTTCATGTGCTAAGGAGGCGACGTTAAAGGACTTTTCTTAGCATCTAAAAGGCAGGGCATGCAAACTTGTAGGAAAAACCACCCTGCCAGTCCTTACCTTACTGGAGAATTCTCTTTTCTTCCACAGCAGTAAAGAGCCGCAAGTGCAAATGTTTAGTCCTCAGATTGATTCCATCCGGGAGAAGGCAGAGGAGTCCCGTTGGGGAGAGGCCACACCCACCCCGTTCAGGGCTGGACAGGGGGTAGGGGTGAAGCAGGGGTAGTGTGTGTGGGGGGGGTCGTCTCCACTGACAATTAGAAGGAAAAGTGCCAAGTCATTCTAACTCGGCAAAGCACGGGGTTAATATTTTGCTTTTCAAAGTTGATGACAAAATGGTACTGATAAATCTCAGATAGTTTTACTCTGCCTGTGGGTGGCGACTGGGTTTGCGGTCAAAGACTTTTCCCAGTGGGGCGAATGGACTGCAGGGACAAAGGCAGATACAAAATTTCCACTCTGAAATTAGCACTGTAAAGCCAAGATGTCACAGACACAAAGGCGGTTTTATTCCAGGGCGGGATGGATTTGCAAGTAACACTGGTTTTGGTTTGGAAACCCATATAAGCCACCAACATTAACTAGATCTGAGGGTTTTGTAAGAAAGGAAGTTAGCAGAACTGCCTCTCATTCTCAGGAGAAAGATAAGCAGGGATGGGACAAATTAGGGTGGCCTATTTGTCCTACGCCAGAATCCAGCTCAAAAGGCAAAATAGACTATCTGGTAATTCTGAAACTGGGCAGTTTTGTCAGTGAAAAGTTTTTTCACCCCGATAAGCCTCTCTGCCAACACAGCAATCCAAATCAGACTGAATTAGAAAAAGCCCCCGTTTAATCGGTGAAGGGTTCCTGGATGATTTTCCAGCCCCCTAGAGAGGAGACAGGGAAGAGAGACTGAAAAACCATGTGTCTGTTTTCTGGGATGCAGCTTAAATACCCTATGGGAGAGGTCTTGAGCATCTCTGGGAGAGGAGCCGTGTTTGGCGGGACTTTCTGAGGAACAGGGTCTGAAAAGAGAGATGGGGCTTCCACCAGAACATTCTAGACTCTTTGGGTATCAGGGTGCCAGGGGCTAAGGTGGAGCTTCCATCAGAACAGTCAGCTTGTGCAGATACGGAGAAATCATTGGTAGTTTCCTGTTTGTGAAGCAATTCACCCCATGTATAAAACTCCTTAGAGAATGTTTTTGCTGTTTTATTTTTCATCATTCTGCATCTGTTTTCACTTTTACTTTATCATTTCAGTAGACAGCATTTCCTGACACATGGAGGAAATCACACTGTCCCAGAAAAATTCATCCCTGAGGATTCATGTCCCACAGAATAGTGAGGGATACAAGGGTTCCTGGAGGCTGCAGAACAAGAGGCTTTAGGATAGATAGGGATAAATAGATGATAGATATATAGATACATAAGAAGATGGATACATAGATACATGGATAGACAGATACATAGATACATAAATAGATGGATACATGGATGGATAGATACATGGATAGATATATAAATGGATGGACACATAGATGGATGGATAGATAGATACATAGATACATAGATGTATAGGTAGATACAGAGATACATAAATAGATGGATACATATATAGATGGATATAGATAGATACATGGATACATAGATACACAGATAGATACATATATAGATGGATGGATAGATACACAGATAGAGCTGAACTAGAGTTGGGCTGGGGCCTGGAAGAGACTTGTCTGTTGGAGAAATCAGTCCCATAGAGGGATGCCTGGTGGATTCTATGATTTAAATATGGTCTCTCCCTACTAGGTTGGAGTTAGTCCTCAGCTGAGAAATTATTTGTAGTAAACAAAGTCTAAAGACATTAATTCTTCTTGCTGTTTTCTTTCCAGGCGCAAATTGTGACAAACTGTCTCACTAGAGACTATTGCTGATGACTTAGCCCAGCTACTTGAGTACCTTACACTCATATTCTACCCATTTCCAGATCAAGAGCATGTGTACTGCCCACCCTGGTGTGTGTGTGCTCATGGGAACACACACACACACACACACACACACACACACACACACACACACACATCAGCAACAACCTGAATAAACTCTTGATAATATATGAGTCTTCTTTATATAGTTTAAGAGTCTGAGCTTATCATGGTGGGGTGAGGGTGGGGTGCTGGAAATGTGTTGGTATTTGGCCAGGATAAAGTTGGAAAAAGGTAACCTTTTCCCCACTGAAATAAGCCTTAATTTTTGACAAAGACATGAAGAGGTTCGGCCATTGTTATCAGGGGACACAGGGGCTCATTTTCAGGGTCTTAGACTCATAGTTAAAAGAATTTTAGCCGGGCGGTGGTGGTGCACGCCTTTAATCCCAGCACTCGGGAGGCAGAGGCAGGTAGATCTCTGTGAGTTCGAGGCCAGCCTGGACTACCAAGTAAGTCCCAGGAAAGGCACAAAGCTACACAGAGAAACCCTGTCTTGAAAAAAAAAAAAAGAATTTTAAAACCGAGGGTCTATGAGCTGGCTCGGCAGGTAAATGCACTTGCTGCCAAGCCTGGTAACTTCAGTTTGATCTTAGAGACTTACATTCTAGAAGGAGAGAACTGACTTCAGAGGGTTGTCCTCTGACCACCACACACCTGCCTACCCACCCACCCACCCCCAATAATAAATAAATAACATAACATAATGTTTAAAAATAGACCCAGGAAGACACTCAAGGGACCATTTCATTGGAGTTTGAGAAAAACAAACGACAGGACAGGCAGTCTGGAGCTCTCAGAAGCTGCAAGAGGAGGGAGAGGAGAAAGAAGTCACGCTTTCAAAGTTACCAGTTAGGAAGGTAGATAGGCTCAGAACACAAGCCTACACGCATCTCTGCTGTGACTTTGTATGTGAGGGATGTGAGTCTCTCCTCAGAAGCAGAGAGAAAATGCCCAGTGTCCGGGAAAGTAGGCATAGGGGTCGGGCCAGTATTCAAAAAAGGAGCTAGAAATCGAAAAGACGGAGATGCTGTGTGGGCTCACGTGTTGTGCTCCGAGGAAAGCTGGCTAAATCTGCCAGAGGAGTCAGGCAAGGCTGGAAGCTGGGACGCGGATTTGGTGACCTTTGAGGATGTGGCAGTGAACTTTACCTCGAAAGGACAGGTTTTCTTGGATTTTTCTCAGGTGAATCTATACAGAGATAGGTTATAGGGAACTTACAGGAATCTCACTCACGTGTGGTAGTTTGAATAGGAATGGCCCCCATACACTCATGTGTTTGAATGCTTGGTTTTAATGCCACCAATTGAGAAGAAGACCACTACCCCAATTAAAAGCCAAATTTGAAGCAAGTTTTAATTAAATACTGGCCAGGTGGATAGACTCTGGCCAGGTCTATCTCTGGGTTTCCAGAAAAATGGGCCAAAATCAGGGTTTACAGTGGCTTAAGTATTTCCCATCAGATCCAATCAGGGGCAAGCATATATCTTGGTGTATCTCCTCCCTGTGAACCTCCTGCCCACGTGTGATCAAGCATATCCAGTGCAGATGTGTCAAACAAATTTGTTTAGGGGATTAAAAATATGTGGCTTGTTTTCTTCCATAAATAATAGCCTGCAGCATTTCAGGAACTATCTGTCCTCAGCAAGGGGCTTTCGGATTAGAGACAATTTTGTTTCATCTAACTTTAAGGCATAGTAATTAAAACCTAAAATGTAATTTTAGCTCTCACATTTATCCATAGGGAGTGGCTCTATTAGGAGGCATGGCCCTGTTGGAGAAGGTGTGGCCTTGTTGGAGTAGGTGTGGCTTTGTTGGAGGAAGTGTGTCACTAGGGGGTGGGTTTTGAGGTCTCAGAAGATCAAGCCCAGGCTCAGTGGCTCATTGTCACTTCCTGCTACCTGCAGATCCAGATGTAGAACTCTCAGCTACTTCTCCAGCACCATGACTTGCCATGATGATAATGTACTAAAATTCTGAAACTGAATCTTGAGTGTCCCAGGAGTTCCTTTGATTTCCTTTGGCCTAAGTGTATTCCCTTGTGGATCTGGTAGGTCAAGGACTTGGCCAACTCATTCGGTAAGATGAGTCTTTCGTCCGAAGTATACCTCCATTTGTTTTTAACCCAGGTGTCAGGTAAAAAGGTAAAGTCTTTATCATCTTGGGCAGAATAATCCAACATCTCAGGCAACATAGGGTCTAGGAGTGTTATCAGCAAATTGGTGCCAGCCAGGGAAGCCTCCTTGGCTGCTTGCTCTGCCTTTCTATTGCCCTGGGCTTTATAGGAATTTTCTTTTTGATGTCCTGGGCAATGGATGATGGCTAGTCTTTTTGGAAGCCATAGGGCAGACAGTAGATCTAAGATTTCTTGTTTATTTTTAATAGTTTTCCCTCAGCAGTTAGTAAGCCCCTTTCCCTGTAGATGGCCCCATGAACATGTGCCGCTGTGAAAGTATAACAGCTATCTGTATAGACATTGATAGTCTTGTCTTTTTCTATTTGTAAGGCTCTGGTCAGAGCAATTAGTTTAGCCTTTTGTGCTGAGGTGCCAGTGGGCAAGACAGTGGCCCAGATAGTCTCAGAGGCAGTAACTATTGCTGCTGCTGCATACCTGGTTCCTTCCCAGTTGGCACTGCTTCCATCCATAAAATATATGAGATCTGGGTCCTGTCAAGGGATGTCAGTCAAGTCTGGTCAGATTCCATGTACTTGCTGCAGGATCTCTGTGCAGTCATGGACGATGTCTGAGGCCAGATTAGGCAACAAGGTCACCAGGTTGAGAGAGGTACTTGGGAAGAACCTAATGTGGGGGGTGATTGAGGAGCAGGGCCTGGTAGTATGTCAATTGGGTGTTTGTTATCCACCGATCGAGGGGGTTTCTGAGAATGCCTTCTATGGAGCAGGGAATGGTTATGGTTAGAGGTTGTCCCAGAGTGAATTTGTCAGCATCGTTGACAAAGAGGGTTGTGGCTGTGATAATACGAAGGAAGCCAGGTCATCCAGAAGCCACAGGATCCAGCCGTTTTGGATAAGTTGGCCATCAGCCACTTCCAGGGTCCAAGACTGAATCAGGACCTTTTTAGCTACCCCCTCTTTTCATCTACAAATAATTGAAAGGGCTTGTTTATGTCTGGTAGAGCTAGGGTGGGGACCTTTAGTAGATCTTCTTTTATGGCTCTAAAGGCCCCTTCTTGGGTCTCAGTCCAGAGGAAGGACTCTTCAGTCC